GATATAGGCACGAAGATGAACGATTGTTCATACACATATTAATTAATACAAATTTTTGACCAATTTATCCTTTGAACAATTGTTCATACACATTAATTAATATATTAATTAAATTATTGTTTATTTAATCTCATTTAATAATAACCGTTAGATGAGAAAATGAACGATTAAGATGGATTAGCATAGTTTGCACAAAATATTGGGTTAGTATTTGAACCAGCCCCTATATAGATATATATATATATATATAGATATATATATATATATATATATATAGATATATATAGATCGTGTGAGAAGGAGAGTTAAAGTGAGAAGCGTAAGAAGGGATCTGGACTCTTGATCACCCTTAATCTCAAACCCACCCATGAATAACGCTTGATACGATCACCCTTAATCTCAAACCCACCCATGAATAACGCTTGATACGGGGATTGATCTGGTACATCTCATCCTAATGTACATCCAAGGGTGTAGATCATTTCTTACGTTTCTCACATTAACATTTCTTCTCATCGGAACTCAACCGTATATATATACACACACATAATAGCCATGTTAATTGAATAACTTAGACATTATGGGCTTTCAACGACAAAATTTAGTCTTCCATGCATATTTTAGATGCAATAAAAAACTCTGAGGAAGAGCAAGGTCGAAATGCGTTAAGTGAGAGTGAAAACTTAGGTGACGTTTGTTTTTGTAAGAGATGTTGAAGTTTGATTTTACTTTTGATTTTTAAGAGGTGGTGCTGAAGTCTGAAATTTGAATCGGTCAGACCGTTTGTTTTTACGTATAAAATTTGAATCAGTTAGACTATTTGTTTAAGCGTCTGAATTTTGAATCAATCCGACTGTTTGTTTTTACGTTAGAAGTTTGAAATCTGAATCAATTCATTTCAATTAAATTCAACAGAAATATCCATCTATTTTTAACACATTAAAAAATTCAATTGAAATACGTCAATTGATTTAACACACAATAGAAAACACGAACAAAGTCTCATGACAACTGTAATCAATATTCATTTTGCATTAATTGTGTCGCAATTTCTTCTCTTAAACTAGCCATATATGTTTGGTTAGCGGCACTCCCATGCGATTGAACCTCTTCAGCCTCATCCATGTCATATTTCTCTTGCTTGTTGGTTTGATCATACTCAGAAAATAACGCATCACTTAAACCTTTCTTTCGTATGAAGTTGTGAACCGCAAAACATGCAATAACGTTTCTCTGAACCTCAAGTCTAAATGCTGTTATTCTTTTCAATATCGGAAAACATGCTTTCAGGACAACATAAGAACGTTCAATAACATTTCTAAGTTTTGCATGAGAATGACTAAAATTTTCATACTTGTTCATTGCTCGTCGACGACGAAAATATCCGAGCCAATATCTAACATTACGATACGACACCATAAATCCTCGAGTATTTGTATACGCAACATCACATAGATAATATTTATTTGAAAACAATAAATAAAATGCTTGTTCAAATGAATACAATAAATATACTACCTGTAAAATCAATAGTATACCTGAAGGAGGAAATGAAAATCCAATATCACCATCTGTTAAAGCTTCAGACAAAACTCTAGAATCATATGTAATTCCTTTCCATCTGGCAAACAACAAATATAAAAACCATGTTGAAATCACAAATTGCCAAAACATTTTGAGAAACATTCACCATTTTCTCGTCCTTTATATAAATGTTGTTCTTGAATAGGGACGATAACATGTATTAAAGTTCCATCCAAGGCGTCAATTGCTCCCTACATTATAGCTAATAGTCAAAATACATTTAGTAAGGAAAGTTATATAACTATTATTGAATTTTTACCTTAAATATTCGTTGTAACCTCCTATGATTCGCAGGGATGTCTAAATTAGGATTGAATGATGTAAGAACTATAATCTCTTTTACAAACTCCATCATTTTATCCAACACTTCATGAAATTTTATTAAGAATTGTTTGTGTTGAGTGTTGGAACCTGTTTTTCAACACTATAACGTTGATTGTGACCTATAATCATCAGGATGATATCTATCTTTTCTTCGACCAATATATGTTTGCTATCTGTTAACCAACCTTTTGCTTTAAAGTGATCACATAGTCGAATGAAAGCTTCACGGGACATTCGCAACAAGTCAATACATTGCCGATCACTACCTTCAAGTAGCTCATTCGTAAATTGATGTCCAATTATTGCAGATGTATTATCTCTTTTCCTTTTTAAACGCCTTTGTCGCAAGTAGAACATATATAAGAATACGACGATGAGAAATATAGTTTTATTATTATTATCCATGATGAACCTGTTAAAAGCATAAATAAAATTATAATTAGAAGTAAACTTTAATATCAAACGCATTACCAAATAACAACTTGTTCAACTTCCAAAACACGTAACCAAGTAGTCAAATATCAAACACATAAGCAAATAACATGTTCAAATATAAAACACATAACCAAGTAACTTGTTCAAATTCCAAAAACTAATCCATGAGTCCCAATCGTCTTGCCGTTCTTAAAATCATGATGTTAATATATTGGCGTCTAAAGGAATCGTCAACCATGTCTCTCTTAATAATGTTGACTGCCCAAAAATGTCAATGGCTGCACTATATAGAGGATCCCTTGTATCAAGGTCAAGAGTGTTCAACTGTTCACTACAAACATTTAGGTTTGAGGTTTGTTGTGCAACAAGTGTCTGAAGTGCACCCCTCATTTCTAAAGCCAATTCATCCATGTCGACCTTGGTTTTACTCTTTTTATTCGATCTAGACGGAGTTGTGCTTGCTTTATCGACAGTTGGATCTTCCTCATCTCCATCCACCTCATTTTCAGTATTTTGAATAATGTGGATATTAGATGTAAATAATGATGATGAAATCGTAATCCTCTCACGGGTTGAACTAGGGGCATAAGCACGAGATCTTGTAGCAGAAGTCCTCTCGAACAAAGCTATGCATAATTCAGGATATACCAATGGTGATGTTTTTAAAGTTCTTGCTTTTGGATGTCCCTGCATCCAAATTAAATATAATTATTTATATAATACCCGTGCTTTTGTGTTTAATATATAAAAAGGTAAAAAAGAATTAAAAAAACCTTGAAGAAATCTTCTCATTCTTGAATAAATAAGGTAAACGTATTCATTTCCGGGTCATAAATATTCCCTGTGTCATTCCGTAAGTACACCAATTACAAATACTTTCTCTTTAAATAATCATATTGATTTTTCATTTGTTTTTAGGTGAGTTTTACATTGCACACTTCCTCAAGTTTGGTTGCCAACTTCACCCAAGTTTCTTTGCGAAGACTACCTCCGTTTCGACCCACCTTATGGACCTCTTCTATACAAGTCTCTAAAAACCATCAGGTAAGTTCATTTGTCTACCTCACATGCACATTCTCGTCCATCACTAATTAACACACAAGAAAATTCACATATTGCAAAATAATCATAATCTAATAAAGATTGGTTCATGTAAATGTGAGCTTCGAATCTTAAATGCATTTAAGTAGAGAGTTCGATTCTTGTGGTTTTAGATTTTAAGGGCCTCTTTGTTTTTAAGCAAATATTGAACAACATTTATAGACAACATATAGTATAAATATTCACGGCTTCTACATTCAAGAACTAGTTTCCAAAAAGTAATAGCAACTAATTAAGAAAAGGTTAATTGTTACTTTGTTTTTAAGTAGATATTAAACAACATTTATAGACATCATATATATTCACAGCTTCTACATCTAAGCACTAGTTTCCAAAAGGTAATAGCAACTAAAACTCTCTACTTAAACACATTTAAGATTTGAAGCTCACATTTACATGAACCAATCTTTATTAGACTATGATTATTTTGTAATATGTGATTCTACTTGTGTGTTAATTAGTTATGGACAAGAATGTGCGTGTGAGGTGGACAAATGAACTTACCAAACAGTTTTTAGACTTGTATAGAAGATGTCTATAAGGTGGGTCGAAACAGAGCTAATCTTCACAAAGAAACTACGGTGAAGTTGGCAACCAAATTTGAGGAAGTGTGCCATGTAAAACTCACCAAAAAACAATTGAAAAATCAATATGATTATTTATAGGGAAAGTAATCAGGATGGGTGGAATAGAACAGAGAATATTTATGACCCAGAAATGAATACGTTCACCTTATCTAATCAAGAATGGGAAGATTTCTTCAAGGTTAGTTTTTATAAACATCACCATTGGTATATCCTGAATTATGCATAACTTTGTTCGAGTGGACTTCTGCTACAAGATCTCGTGCTTATGCCCCTAGTTCGACCCGTGAAAGGACTACGATTTCATCATTATTATTTACATCTAATAACCACACTACTCAAAATACTGAAAATGAGGTGGAAGGACCAATTGTTGATAAACCGAGCACAACTTTGTTTAGACCGAATAAGAAGAGTAAAAT